CTTTTATGTCTCGGTTTAGTTTTCGAGGTGAAAAATAAGGGGAATACGTGCTCCTTTATACTTTATTTCAATTAACTATTAGTCATTCTGTTTCAGTATCCGTTTTATAAAAATTTGGTTCGTCTTAACGTTGTACAACGCAATTTAATTTATTCGGTTTCGCGGTCACAAACCGCCCTTATTTATTATTCGAGGCACACATCTGTGGATGCCCCTCTTAAATTTCTTAAAATTAAAGTTTTTTCTAGCGAGATACGATAAGGCTTTGAAAATTGTGACAAAGGGGCGCGCTCGCCAGAGTGAAATTTCGAAGGCCAATTTGTATTCGCGTCCACACGCTCAGAATTTCGGTACATGTTTAAAATATGCAACGCGATAAAGGCACATTTTCTTTAAATAATATTTTTCGCGCCGCACAATGGCAGGCCGGGAAACACATAAATTTTCTCGTTTTGGAGTAAGTCGATTTTGATTTTTTTCTGGTATAATAATAAGTTGATCTATTTTTCCTTGAAACAGGATTTAGCCTGTTTCTAAATATTTTGGAAGAAGTACTACTACTATCTCTTATATCCAACCTAATATTTGTGCGAGCAGTGGTCGAACGAGCAACGCGCATTTATTAACCATAAAGACTCGTTGCTCGTTCGACCACTGCTCCATTAAAAATCATTTAAAAAGTTCACGCTATGCCGTCCATTAATTTTTTCCCCCAAAAGATTTATCTAGCGACATAAAACAGTATGGTGCTAGCGAAATTACAGCTATTTTCTTCGTTCTTATAAATGTATTTATTTTACAATCTCACGCTGGCCTTTCCATGATGGGTATTTATTGTCTAATTTTTAAACAATTACTAATAGTAATTAAGCATTTGACAGTTCAATTAAGCAAATGGTAATTAATAAATCATATAATCTTTCAGACTAATGGATGCGAGCAATTTTGCTAATATATGATTCATTTCTATTTTATTAAATATTGACTCAAAACTTTTTTTGCGACATAATTGAGTTTTGAAACTGAAGTGTATTCAACTTTGAAGTGACGGATTTAAAGCGTCGGAGTTAGAAAAAGTTTTCATTGAATTTTAATAAAAATTTGCATGATTTGTTAATCCGCTAAGAAGAGAAGAAGCGAGAGAAGATAAAAAATACGGGTGACAGGCGAAAGCTTGTCTATTGGAGCAAGGAAGAGTTAAGATCCTAAAGTTTTAAAGGCGGGAGATTTCTCATTGTCTTTGGAAAAGACATTTTTTTTGAGGCCCAAAGACTAATAATTCTGAGACAGAAATTTTTTATTTGCTATATAAACATAAGAGTTGAGGAAAACCACCTATTTAAAATATTATTTCTTCAAGTCTTAACTTTTTAAAAAAACGTTTACTGAATAAAAATAAATGTTGCAACCATGTATGCGCCCTCAAGTTTAGGATTGAAAGAGCGCGCCACAGAAAACGAAGGTACCGAAACCGAAGAGGATACAAGAGAATACGCAACTAGACTACAAAACGAGCTATAGAAGCTTAGAAAACGTGTCGCGTGTCTGTAATTATTCATTATTCAATTTTCATTTTTATTTTGCATTAAAATTGATTGTTCAATCGAATTTGTTATTAGTGTGTGTGTAAGAAGCGTTCACAGGTCAGTTGATTATTATTTTGTTTGTGAGAGTTCAATTTATACGAATATCATTTTTTCCATTTTTATGTTTTTTTTGTTTGTTTATAACATTTTTTTAACATGCTGTTAACAACATCGATAAAGAAGTAAATTAAAACCTAAGAAATTATGTGCTGAGATTTTGATTTTGTGTATTCAGAGCATGCATTGGGGCCTTGTTGAATTTACTAACATTTTCCTACCCTGACGAGAGAATATCCTAGCAAATTGAAATAATCAATCTAGAGATATTGGTTCAAAAACAACTATAGCTGAGTAGCTTCACATATGGGACCTCAGTACCTGCTGGGAAACTGGCTAACTTTCTAACTATTCCCTCAACCTTTCCATGTTAGTATGAATTTAATCCTATGTACAGTTTTTGAATAATCATACAGTTTCTTATATAGGTACATTTTTTAAATAATCATACAGTTTTGTATATTTTCGTGTGGATCTCCATTCGTTCGTAGGTCGATCGAGTGTACGCCACTGGTATTTTCCTGTTTCTGACTATTCCCTCAACCTTTTCATATTAGTATGAGTTTAATCCTATGTACAAATAAGTGGATTATTGCGGGACCTATAGGTGGATCTCCATTTACTCACCAATATACTACTGAACTGTTCAAAAAAAAACACTCACCTGAAACGTGTAGTTTATGAACTAATGAGAATAACTGACATTTAAATGAGTTAGGTTAACATCGTACTTGAACAACATATTAATGAATAGATGAGGTAAGTTCAACAGTATATTGGTGAGTAGATGGCTGCGGAACTCGCTGCGCTCGTCCCGCAGAGGTCCACCCATAAGTTCGGCAACAATTCACTTATTTGTACTTGAATAATTTGTCACATTATATTACTAGTTTGGTAAAGTAACATTACTAATTCCTCTTGAAAGACAAATTGACAAAAAGTAAATGATCATAATCTTACAAATTTTGACTTTATATGATAAGTTATTGTTCAAGTACAAATAAGTGGATTGTTGCAGAACTTATAGGTGGACCTCTGCGGGACGAGCGCAGCGAGTTCCGCAGCCATCTACTCACCAATATACTGTTGTTCAAATAACACACTCACCTGAAACGTGTAGTTTTTGAACTAATGAGAATAACTGACATTTAAATGAGTCAGGTTGACATCGTACTTGAACAACATATTAATGAATAGATGAGGTAAGTTCAACAGTATATTGGTGAGTAGATGGCTGCGGAACTCGCTGCGCTCGTCCCGCAGAGGTCCACCCATAAGTTCCGCAACAAACCACTACACCCATTAGTTCCGCAACAAAACTCTACAACTTTTGTATTTACATCTTTCTACTACCTGTAAAGGTAAAGGCTGTAGGTGGGGTGTCAATATATAAAAAAATACCCTGTACACTTTTTGAATAATCATACAGTTTTGTATGTTTTCGTATGGTTCTCCCAAAACCCCAACAAAGAAAACCTAACTCCAGAAAACAGCCATATAAGACACAACAGGGAAGTGTCATGCGCCAACTTAGCAAAGTGTAAAGACTCGCTTGCTCGGGAAATCCTGGGAGACCAACAAAACGGGACTTGTTTCGTCTTGCCGATGAAACGAGTCTCGAGTCTTGTCTCGCAAATATATCGAAATCTCGTCATGCATAATCTTGTTCAAGCTCAGAATCTAGGGTCGTGATTCCCAACAGCGTTCTAAGGGTACTGTACATAGAAATATTCACCTACGAGACTCTCGTCTCGCCTTGTCCTAGTATCGTCTCGAGTCTGTCTTGAAAACGAGACGAGACAATGCGAGACTATCATAGGCACCACTACTAAGCCATGGAGGTTCTTCTAGACTTCCCATTTCTGCACATTGTGATACAGGGTAAGACAAGGAGGGAAGCGTACAGGCTGCAGCCGACAACCGCCTACAACAAAAAAATGGGACACATGGGAATCGCAAACCTTGTAGGTGGAAATATTTCCAATATGAAGACAGACCATATGCCTCAACATACCATTCGACGTCAGCTTCCTAAGCAAAACTAAATAGGAACAGGATATACCGAAGACCAAAAAGCATGAATAATAATGAAACCGCACCCCAAATACTAGAGTAGTTGGAATAAAGCGAACAGGCTAAGCACAATAAGCCTTCTCAGGCTCCTGTGCTACATGGGGACAATAACTGAATATTTTTCAAAGCAACTCCGTGTATAGTTTTTCAATAAATTATAGAAAAGCCACTGTAGACGAGTATCACCTGGTAAGCCACGAAAAACCATCTACCGTATAAATTAGCGAGATCCTGCTGGGCCCATCAAAGCAACTTCAATAGAATAAAATAAACGCCTTTGAAGGGACCGTATAACAAGGGGAATATTTGAATTTATTAAAGTTTCAAGATACCGGCCAAGGCGAAATTCATTTAAACAGAATTCCTTTGGCAATATTGTATTTTTCTTGAGAAATTCTTTTAAAGTAATATCAATTTAGTAAATTATAAATATTAGACAAAACAAACCCTATTACGTTAGTTGAAATTAAACATTCTCTTAGATAAATATTTATTCATTCACAGACATATTCGAGTAACTTTTTGCCTTTGCCTCGCAGGCAAATTCAAATTTATTCTCCACGAAATATGTACAGGGAATTTAAAAAGCACACCGATCTAAAATTCATCAAAAAGCCCAGTGGTGCGGCACCAAAAGTCTCCATCTTTCTGGTTATTAAATATTTAATAAATTTCCTCTCCATGATAGCATGTTTCTACCTACCTACTGAAATTCACAATGTTTAATGGTATGATACACTTTTATTGATTAAGGAAAACGCATTCACCTTAACATAATTAGATTGAGCATTTTCTAATTAATTACTTTTTTTTCTTATTTGCCCAAGTTTTAGTAGTAAGGGTTGATTAAACTTTTCTTATTTTCTCTCGCCCCCTGAATTTGGATGAGGGAACTTTACAAATAGTGGTCTTATGTTAAATAATTAATTATAAAACAAATTTATTAATCTTTCTAGCAAAAGTTTTAAAAATTGAAAACGCTTAAGGGCACAAATCCGAGTTTTCCCCTTTCCTGTAAATTGAATAAGAAGCAAAAGTTTCCTGGAAACTACTCGGGGGACAAATACATTTTAATTTAGTGAAATTTAAAACAAATCTAGGCATCTGCTATCGAGCGAAATATTTTAGAAAAAAAATAGATGAAAAACTTCCACAGCCGCAAGAAAAAAGACGCTCTCTAGCATAAAATTGAATTATCAGTAAAGTTTTATAGGCAAGGAGGGCCATATTTTAGACCAAAAAAGAAGAATTCCTTCAAATTCATTTCGAAATTTTCATTCGCAGGATCCGTTGCGTTCCAACCGGATTTTGCCGAGCCCATTAAAAATATGTCAGTGCCAGTCGGACGCGACGCCACGTTCCAGTGTGTCGTCCATCATTTGGGAGGATACAGGGTAAGTTTATGTTTAATTCAAAGAATTAATTGAATAATCAAAGTTCAACTCTTACTATCTGTAATGGCCTGGGCCCATAACCAGTGTCTGGCCATACCATGTAACATGTAACAACTTCCCATCCCTACGTCATCAGGATGTTCGATTCAGTAATTCAATATTTAATGTTGTAAAACGATATCTACTTGAAGAGAAATTGGATCAACAAGGTAAATAAAAATCGAGGTGGAAAAGGTCGCACCGGTCACGAACCTGAACTTCAGATTATCCCGGAGCAGCTGTGTGTATTATAAATGATCTCGAATTTGCGGAGCCTTTCGGCGATTTGTCATATTTGCGCCGATATTACAAACCTTGACCAGTTTTTTCGAAAAAGTAAACGACAGCATTATACACTACCATCCATACATGAAATAAAAATCGATAGTTTTGACGTACACCCATAAAATCCGCATGCATGATTTACGGTTTATATTTTATCAGGACATCATATGTGAAATATTGAAGCTTGTGCTCCAGTGTCGTTGATGGCTTACCTTTGGCAAAAGGGGGTGTATAAAGAAAATTGATATTTTATGCAGTAATGGGTTTGTATCAACGGACATTGGAAGAAAACTTATATTTTAATTTTTCTAATTAAGATAAATCGATATATACATACATAGTTCAATTATAAAAGTGACGGAAATTGAAAATAGCATTGTCAGGCATACTACCGGCAGAAATTCATTTTATTTAATTAAAACGGTGTGACAATAAATACATTTTGTTGTTGCCTTATTCGAAATGATTTTAATTGGAAAATATAATGCATCTTCGATGCTAAAACAAAACTGACAGATGCACACAGGCAAACATGCTTTTCTCGCTCGGACACGGCCTGAATAATAAACGCGTTTTCGTGGAAAACGTTCTAAGCTTTTTGTGTCTACGTCCTCACTTGAATCTCAGATTATTCCGAATCGGAATTTGAGACTGTGCTTAACTGTTGGAGTTGAAATTTGATTTTCTTACTTATTTCCACAATTCGTGAAAGTATGATTGCTTTATTTTGCATAGGTGGGATGGGTAAAAGCGGACACGAAAGCCATCCAGGCGATTCACGATCACGTCATCACCCACAACCCGAGGATATCCGTGTCGCACAACGATCACGTGACGTGGAATCTGCACATCAAGAACGTACAAGAGGAGGACAAAGGACAATACATGTGCCAAATTAATACTGATCCGATGAAAAGTCAGGTAACAAAAAAGTTCCAATGGTTTCCGGATTTAGTAGTGTAATTAGAGTAATTACATTTTGCCTTTTATATATGGGGATTATGAATGCAAAGGGTTTTATATTCCCATTACAAAAGATTTAATTATATAGCAACAGGGTTTGGATTCTTAGCTCTATCGAAATGACAACGCCGTCGATGTTTATTTCTATCCGGCTCTAATAATGGATGTCGGTAGTGGAGCTAATTTATAGTCTCGGGCAGTTTATCGGAGTTTGGTGGTCAACGTTGACCCACTTAATTTAAGAGGAGAGGGTGTCGAGTTCACATCAGAGAAAACTTTGAATAAAAAACAAGATTACAAAATAAAAATTTCCACAAACCTATTGCGGCCGAATCGTGTGGAAATATTTACTCAATAGAACGGTAATTGTTTATCGCATTCGAATAAACATTATTTGTACCAAATGAGCGCTCTTGTTCAATAATTATTATCCACTTCAATAATAATAATATTGGACACAGGTGGGTTTCCTGGACGTGTCCGTTCCGCCCGATTTCACCGAAGAAACTTCCGGCGATTTGCTGGTACCCGAAGGCGGTACCGTCAAATTGACGTGCCGAGCCAAAGGCCATCCGGATCCGCACGTGCAATGGCGCAGAGAGGACGGCAAGGATATTGTCATCAGAGAACCGGCCGGTACCAGAACAAAAGGTAATTGATTGTAGATTGTTATGGTGGGGTGTTTAGGTTATGGACTTCTTTGCACTGCGACCTGCTTAGATCTATTGCGCATCCTTATAGCTACCAGCCCGCCTGACTTTCGGAATTGATGTAGATCTTGGCTCTAGCGCAAAATTCTATTGCGAATATAGTCGGACCTGGGGGTTATGAGAATCAAAACTAGTACCAAGTACAAAAATAGGAAAGTGTATTTCAAATAAAGCTTACCAGAAATACATTTCAAATACGGGAATAGGCACTAATAATAATTGTCACAGGACTAAAAGGCACTTACATTACTGACTAACTAACGCGGATCATTCTCGGTCTGTAGACTATCCCTCATCTTCCAAAAACCCGTTATTTTATGTTAGTCGAGCGACCATGGTACGTGATTGCTAATTACAATAACTACCGGTGACCTGTCGTTGACATTGACCTTCCATGGGTTAAGGATTCTCGTATAAATCAATAATTGGTTCAACTTGCAACTGAATGTTATTTAAATGTATCGTGGTCAATGATTTTCCTGAAACCCATGAACCTATTTTGGAAGACGATTAGGTTTAATTAACGGAAGGTAGATGCCCTATTATCCTAGATACGACAATATTTCCGTTTGAAATATGATTGGGCTTTCTCCTAGGGCTGTTGATAGCCTACAAAGTGGGCCGTATATAACCCTGCTCCAGTTCCTTACTCTATTTTCGATCCGTCTATATACCAGACAGATGACCTGTTCGGGAATACAGGTGCGATATTTTCTCCCTTGCGACCCTCAATATTCACTTTAAAGGAATGTCCAAATTCGTACCTCTGTTGCATGTGGTCAACTGATTTTGTGGTCACACTTATGCATTCTTTCATAATGCTCATGTGGCCGACAAAGTCCCCTTCCTTTACCTTCCCTTACCTTTTCTTACCTTCCCTTGCCTTCCTTCACCTTCCCTTACCTTCCCTTACCTTCCCTTGCCTTACTTTCCCTTCCCTTCCAAGGCATGCATACCTTTGTACAGTTGCCAATCGGTTTTGCGCTGTCTGTTGTTTTACTTTTGGCCACCACACTATTGCAGCGTAGGTGATCATGGGTCTTATAACCATTGTAAATGACCAATGGATCATTTTTGGCTTCACTTTCCAAATCTTGCTGAATAATCTCTAGTATGTTCAGTATGTGGCTATTCTTTTGAGATGTTGGTTCCAAGTGAGTTTCTGATCCAAGGTGACTGTCAGGTATTTGACCTCACTTGCGAATTTGATTTGTATACCATTTAAGGTTGAGAATCCTTTTCCTTGTAAAAGGTACAATTATGGTTTTGTTGGAGTTGACGCTTAAGCCCTCCTGTAGACCCCATCTGATAATGACATTTAGGGTATTTTGCATGAGGTCACTAATGATGCTTACCCCTTATGATGACTGTGAGGTCGTCAGCATATCCTAGGACTGTGATCCCTTGGGTTGTTGCTCCCTGTATATCAATGCACATAAAGCGGTTTCTTGATTAGAGTGTGCCGTTCACTCCTGATGTGAAGGTCAATGATTTTCTTCATGTTTCTCAGGAGAAAGGAGGTTAGACTAGTATGTAGCCTAATGGGTAGCTAGCTTTAAACATTTTTATTAGATGTGGTGCTAGTTCTTCCAGGCCTTGTAAGAAGGCGGGAAAGATCCCAACTCCTCCTAGTGATTAGTAGGGCTGAAAACTGTTTATAGCCCATTGGATCTTATTTTCCTTTCCCCATCAGGTTTCCACTCGATAGACCCTGAGAAGTGTGTTTGCAAAAGCAGTTTTACACTATCTAGTCTAATTTCGGTATAGCCACCATCAGATCTCTGAAGGAGCCCGATTTTGTGTGAGTGAGCATTATTTGAGGAACTTCGATCATCTCCTCGCAGAATCTCTTCCAGGATTCTCTTTTAGATCTTCTCAATTCTTAGTTCCTTCCGTCTCGATAACGTTAGGGAGATCGATACTTTCCGTTTTTAATAGGTCTTTATACAGACCTCAGCCCAGTCGGTAAGTTTTGGGTTTCTATAATTGAAAAGGCATAGTCGCAATAACATATTAACACAGGAGAGCGATCCAATCAATTGGCATGCAAACGCGCTCGTCAAACGTATAATATATGAGTTAGAGGCAGATAGATAGGTAAACGAGTAGCTCCCGTGCGCATTTCTTCATTATTTCAGTCAAATGACTGACGGAGAAAGCAGGTCTTGTTTAAACCTCTGGTGCACCCCCACTATGACCCCTCTTTTGGGGGGTCTTGTCATCACAACAAATATCAATTTATCAAATGGACCAGGAGCCACAGATAATCAAAGTTTGAACTATTACCGGCTCTTGATTCTCTGGAAAACTTTCCTGGAGCCAATCAAGAACCGGTAATAGTCAAAATTTGAATTTTTATCAACTCTGGATTCGCTAGAGAATTTTTCTTAGGGCATCCAAAATTCAAGAGCCGATAATAATCAAAATTTCGAATGATCATTAGACGAGATACAATGTCTATCTGTGTCTAGATGTCATGGGTTGAATGTGGCCTGTAAGTTCTCCAGATTTCACACCATTAGACTATGGACCTTTTTCTATCTTACTGAGAAAAATGTTTCGCAATTAAATAACAGAACTCCTTTTTCGCGTAATATCGAAAAACAATACACAAGCTTCAAAGGCTCCTTTGCCTTATTGTTCCAAGTAATAACTGGAAAATGGTTTACTAGGAAACTCTTGCCGATCAGTTTTCCTGGTATACACTCGGACAATACAAAATATTAATTAAAAAGCCCATAAAAGAGCAGCGCAAATGAAGACAATAACACTTCGCCCCCACAATTACTATCAACAACACCCCGAGGGGCCGTACAAAGATTCCGGGTCAGCAATAATGTAATTCCCGGCATTAAAATCTGGTTATTATTAAATTTATCCGGGTCGCAATAATTCGCCTCTTGTCTGTGAGGACGTGGTTTGCATCCTAACACCCAGAGGGACAGTTTTGGATGTTGTAAAGTTTCGGATGATGGCACCGGCTGCATAAACTACTACATAATATTAACTGAATTCGAGTATTTTTTTTTTTGAATAACCGCCATTAGCCGGTAACAACACTTGATATCTTCCAGCGAGACATTATTATATTCGGTCCGGGGGAAAACGACTCTCCAGGGAACATTTGGGGACGATCGTTTTCAGGTTTTACAATGGGTTTTGTTGCTTCTTTACATTCGGTTTCGGCGGAGGCATATTGCCGTTCGGTACATCAATATTTTAAATTGAATTCGAGCGAACGATCATTTTACTAATCCGAGTTGATTTTACGCCGGAGGAGGTCTTTACGTTACAGATGTAAATTGAAGCGTAATAAAGGAAATCGTCAATTCCTTGTTAAATTACCATGCACCGTAATTTTCATTGTGCACATTTTTCTTGAAAATTCACCAACATTTTTCCGGATGCAAAATACCAGTAATTTTTTGCGTGTGCGACTAACAACATCCAACATCCCGTGGGTATTTGTTTTTCCATTAACACAATATTGATTCCGCCTTTGCCCGACAAAAAAAAAAACCTTATTTGTTTGCCAATTTGCCATTTTTGTAGACCCGGCAATTGAATGTTAAAATAACGATAAATAAATTCTGATTTACAATGTTTCGGGGCGTTATCAATAAGGCCAGGCCACAATAAAATCGAATCCAATGCCGTTTATTGCTTCTCAAAACTCGCAAAGCTTTCGAGTGTATTGGGTAGGGACGGATGCCCGATAGCTATAATATTGTATACGGCCCCTTATCTTCGACGCGAAAAGCATCGTTGACGAGTTTCTTTCAGTGCGGTCATCCTTCTATTTTTACATTTTTCAATGGAAGAGGGACGTTTTAGCATTTCCCTTATCGAAACAATAAGTTTCTATAGAATCAATTGAAATTCCAAGATCGTCATTAGATCTATAGAAATTGGTGTTTATATATTTCTTATTGCTGGAAATATATAATGGGCAAACTTTAAAACTTGAACGGAAACGCAAACCTACCTAATTGGGGCTTGAATACTACTTATACCGGAAATAATTTTTGCTGTAGAAAATCAATACATTTATATTCAAAAATTTAATGTTTCAGTATCATCATATCAAGGTGAAATGTTGCAGCTGTGGAAGATATCTCGTACGGAAATGGGCGCTTACATGTGCATAGCATCAAATGGCGTTCCACCGACAGTCAGTAAAAGGGTTATGGTTAATGTACATTGTAAGTTTTGCCTTATGTAAGTTTTCATTGAAAAGAAAACAAGAATTTTCTAGTTCATCCGGTAATTCATGTTCCAAACCAGTTAGTCGGGGCACCGCTTGGAACCGACGTCACCTTGGAATGTTACGTGGAAGCTTTTCCCAAATCAATCAATTATTGGGTGCGAGATACAGGTGAGTTATACACACGGATGAAGGTGAAGAATTTGCAAATAATGATTTAATAATTAAAACACGAGACTTAGAACTTCCCATGCAATTTTAAACACACACATCTTCGCGTATTATTCCAAGTTCCATCACACACACATTCGAGGCAAACTTGTACGAAAACTTTGGCCAACTTCTCTTTGTCTCAAAACTCGGTTAATTATTCAAATATATGCCACTTATAGTGAGTGGCGCGCATCCACATACAGAGACAGGATCTATCCAGACTCTAATTAACTATAGCATTCCCTGGATATCATCTGTTACTGGTTTTCGATTGCCCTGTTTATTACACGCCCCGCTTCCCGTCGACTGTCTCTGGGATATATTTGCATTTCGGTAATAATCTCTCATGCATTAGAAATTCACTGTTTTCTTATCATCCTAGAGGTTGAATCATTATTTGAACTATTACCAACTCATATTTGGAGCAAACGCAATAAAGAATTTTAATTTTGACGGATAGATTTGAAGCCTCACAAAAGAATCCGCTGCAATAAACACGGCTAATACCCTGATGTAGCTCTTAGCGTTTCCATATTTCATTGGGCGATTTGTTTTGTAAAACTACTAAATTTAGGATGAATGACAATTGGAAAAGCTTTTACATTTTCCTACAATCATCCTGTCTCTCTTAGTTAAAAATTTAGTTGCCAAATGTATGCTTTGGTTATGTCGATTAAGCTACCGTTGGCCACTTTCGCACTTATAGGGCAGTATTCGCTGCACACAGTCAGTGGGGTTATTCTGGATACGGCTAAACTTGTACTGACGGAAACATCAACAAGTCCCTGCTCGGGCGCCAAATTTGTAGAACTGTATTGTTGATGAGTGAAATTCGAAATTAATTTCACCAAAGCAAACCAATTTTACTCAACAATGCCCAAATGTCAGCGGAATTAGGTATTCTTTGGTTATGTTGATCATGCTACCGTTGACCACTTTCGCACTTATAGGGCAGTATTCGCTGCAGACAGTCAATGGGGTTGGTCTGGATACGGCTGAACTTGTACTGGCGGAAGCATCAACAAGTCCCTGCTCGGGTGCCAAATTTGTAGAACTGTATTGTTGATGAGTGCATTGCATATGTTGCATTTAAAATTCTTCTCGTCCAAGTGTGTTAGTTTGTGTCTCTTCAAACTGCCTTTTTTTTTAAATTTTGCTTTACAAATGTTGCATTTAAAATTCTGATTCTGCTTCTAAAATGATAATTTAGACTGAAGTGCCCTTTTTTACGCATAAAAAATTTATTCAATTGATTTTGACCCCCCCTACATATTTTTCTGCGGGCGCCCCTGTACTTGGAGCTTTGTCAAGGTTGTTCGATCTGTTGAAAGACGGGTTATCAGTTAAGGATATTCTGACAGATGTGGAATACGACAACGTCGGTAATCTCACTTTTCCGGATATGCTGTCGATATTCAGGTAATAGGTTTTGGTACAACCACTGCAGTTCTTGGTCAGAGTTAATATTGGCATCTTATTAGTGTTTGCACATCAGTGATGTAACGTGGGTTTTTGTAGACAACGGCTGATTTTAATTTCTAAATTAGCAACATAATTGATGGGAAAGTAGAAACTGCGGAAATCTTGCAGGAATTCGTTCCAGGTGTTCCAGTGGGTTCGGTTGTTCCAAAACCAGAGTGATACTTCGTCGCGTAACATTTCCGGCATATGCGGTAATAATAGTCAATAGATACAGATTTCTTGTAATCTCTCAATAAACGTCACCGGATCCGTTCATCTGTCAAAATGTAAGTCCCTTTTATAAACTTTCAGCGGGGCTAACAGGGAAATGCCTGGAGGGTTATAAGCGGTCGATGTTGTGATAGGTGATTGGTGATTGGACAACTACTATATTTATGGAAGAAGTAATGCCGGACGTTGTGATTGATGTGGTGGACGGTTTGCTTATGATAAGGACGCAATATTTATTTAATGAATGGAAGTTGGGGTGGCTGGGTTACTAGGAGTAGTAGCGGGGGATGGGAAAACAAAAGCCTGATTGGTCGGTGTCGGTGTTGCTTTTCCTCAAAACATCCACACTACCGGAAGCATCTAGACTGAACTTGCCTAGTTCAATAAGTATGTTATCTTTCCTCACTCGTACGTCACTCGTGCCAGGATCGGACAGGTTAATGCCTATAACCGTTGGGGTGTTTACTTTATTAGTGGCTGTTAAGCTGTTAAAAACTTCGGTTGATGTGGAAACAGACCCGGTTGTAACTGGTGGTTTTGCATTATCGTTTACGGCATCTGGCTTCTCAAAACTCGGTTAAATTGGTCACTAAAGGTTCAATAATCTGAAAACTATTGTGCTGGCGTATTTGTGGGAACGATAAATGAACTGTGCATGCGCACAACCAAATTCAGAATAACGACCTTATGTTACTATGGGTAAACTTGTACTGGCGCAAACATTAACAAGTCCCGGCTCGGGCGCCAAAATTTGTAGAACTGTATTTTTGATGAGTGAAATTCGAAATTAAACCAATTTTATTCAAGAATGCGATTTCCATATTATATCCATTATTATCCGATACAAAATCAAAAATGTATACTTTCCAAAGTTTCAAAAGTCACATTTAAAGAAGCAAATTGAAAAAGTTTTCACATTTTCCGGGTTGTTTAAGTCAACAGAACAGCACACACACGTATGACTGGACAGAACGCAAATTAAATCCAAAAGAAAATATAAAACGCTTGCTAAATTAGCTGTAAATAACTTTTTAGCTCCATTAGTTGTTGTTTAGATCTCGACATGATTTACAAAGTTCTTGCGGAAGCTCGATTAATCAAATGTTTACTGTTCCGGACTTGGAAGTCCATTTTTAATGTCTTTTTATAGTTTAGTTGTTGACAGACGAAAGTCATAAATATCCATTAAGATAATTTATTAAAAACTTATCAATGCGTGCATTATTTTAAAATTTTCCCACTTTATTTGATGTTGATTGATCGTCTTCTGTTGACTTTTAACTCAAATCTCGGGGGGTTATCGGATACGAAAAAACCTCCCTCGTACAATTTATATAATTGAGAGTCTATTTGGCTTTGTCAAGCATCCATTCATCAAAAAGCGGACGTATATTGATTGACTTGATCATTTTGCCCAAACAGATAAAGTGAAAATTATGCCGCAGTATGAGAACGATATTTTCTGATCTAACCACATTAACCGAATCCTAGCATTAAATTTTCATTTTGCTTAAAAACCTGAGGCGGTGTATATTACGAGGTGAAAGAACCAGTTCTGCGGCAAAACGTAAGATCTAATCTAGAACAAAGAAGAGAATATACGAGCGTGTAATAGATTCCTGCGGACCAGAAAAGGAGCGGCCCAAATAATCAAAAAATAAATGATTAATGGCTACATATTTTCGATTATTATTCCTCTTTGACGCTAAATAGCCAATTGAATTTTGAACGATGCAAAAGGCAAATTAGGGACGCCAGGCCCCATCATGCGGTTTATTATTCGATATAGATGAGGCTTGATACTAGTACTTAAAACCAAATTTACAGTAACGATGATGACGATATAGGATCTTCTCAAAGTGTTTAACAAATTAGTAAAATAGATTCGATTAATTTGCAAGTCTGAAAGGAAAATCTTGTATTCATTTTGATCATTAGTTTGAAAGCTTATATGTATAGAATTTCTAGCTTCAAGGGAATTTTAATTTAATTAAAATCAAAAACCTTATATTCACTTTCTGTGCCGGTTAAATAATACAAACATTATAATATGCAGATGGGATTTATTCAGCAGATGGAACAATTTGGGTTTTACCAGGAAACCTTTTTAAATTTTTATTATCTCAAGGCTTATTATTATCATCTATTTTCAGGTGAAATGGTGATATCGAGTAACAAATACGACGTGCAAGCCGTCAGCAAGTCCGCATTCGAAGTGAAAATGATCGTGACGATAAGGAGCCTCCAAAAAGATGACGTCGGTTCGTACAGATGCATCGCCAAGAATTCTCTCGGCGAAGTCGAAAGCAACATACGCCTATACGGTAAGTAGATTTCAATATGCAACGAAAACAATTCCATTTTACGGGCGCTATCAATAAGGATAAGGGGAAATATGTTCTATTTTATTCAGGAAGGGTAATTGCCAGTTTACCGCCTTTGGATTGGTACCTTGAGGCATCTAAACTTGGAATTTGTTCACATAATATAAAAAGAACAATCGTATCCTTATGAGTTCACATATGAGGTTGGCAAATTTAAAAACCACTTTATTATATAAATTGCATACATCATGACTAGACTTCTTCTATATGTAGAAATTCCTGGTCCTACAAAGTCCTACACGTTAACTCTGGACGAAGAAGACTACAACGACCAGCTGGGTTCGGCCGAAAGAGACCAAGACGAAGATTTTCTAAACAGTATAAGTGGTTTTTCCACTTTGGAAACTCCAAAGGAAAATTCTGAGCGAAGCAATCGTGTAGCTGACAAAGAAAGCTCAGGTACCTTACGGACAACTTGTCTGAGTTGGCTTGTCGTTGGTGTTTTGATAAATTTTTGAATTGGATCCGATTTATTATTTCGACAATAAAAATATAAGAGCTGTGTTTGTAACCCTAACTTATCAAGTTTTCCATTGTGATAACAATTCACTGAATCGTTTTACTTCGACTATTATCGTTAGTGGTTTAATAGGACTCTGTAATTGTTTTGACCGAATTATCTAGTCAAAAAAAAAACTGTGTTATGTTATCTTTGTCCCACTGAATTTGTTCTTCATTTATTGTAAAAAGTTTTACTAGAAATATTCACTCAATTATTATAAATAATATTGGAATTTCGCTTATAAAATGCTTTATATTTAAAAAAATAAAAGGAAAATAGACCATATTCAATTGTATGTTAATGTTTATATCAATGTAAATACATTTTAATGTAAATGTAAAAGTTGTGTTGCTTTATCGTTGAAATTGTAGAAGAAACTTTCAGTTTTAGTGTAATTGAATTATTTTATAGATTATGCACTTATTTATTGCAGCTGAGACCAAATTTCCAAGAATAAGGGTCCTCTAGACAAAACATATCAAAATATTGTTAAGTAAATGCAGCGAGGGGTGAACCACCTTGGAATTACAATGTGGGATTCCTTAGTTTGCTTGATGAGTCGATGTTTCTAATTTGTACCATGGAGTTTCTTGAGAAATTTCATTAGATTCCAAGGAATGGTGTTGCAGCTCCTTGTGTTGCAAGTTGGTCCGTGATTTCATTCCCCTTGATACCTTGGTACCCATGACAGGGTGACCCTGTTCCGGGGCGCCAGCTGCTTCGGGAATTGGCAGTCCCATACAACTATAGTGGGTATGAGAGTAGTAATTTCCTACGTTGTGATTGTGATTGGTTACTAAAGGTTCAATAAATTAAAAACTCATGGGCTGGCGTATTTGTGGGAATAGTTTGCGCACAACCAAATTCAGAATAACGGCCTTATAGGGCAGTATTCGCTGCACACGGTCAATGGGGTTGGTTTGGATACGGCTAAACTTGTACTGGCGGAAGCATCAACAAGTCCCTGCTCGGGCGCCAAATTTGTAGAACTGTATTATTGATGAGTGAAATTAATTCCACCAAAGCAAACCAGTTTTACTCAACAATGCGATTTCCATATTATATGCATGTATACTTTCCAAAGTTTCAAAATTCATATGAGCGGAAGCAAATTTCCAAGAATTATGGTCCTCTAGACAAGACATATCAAAATATTGTTAGGTAAATGCAGTAAGGGGTTAACCACTTGGAATTATAATGTGGGATCTAATAGGATTTTTTAAAATTCCAGTGGGAATCCTTAGTTTGCTCGATGAGTCGATATTTTTAGTTTGTACCATGGCGTTTCTCGCGGAATTCCATTGGATTCCAAGAAATAGTGTTGCAGCTCCTTGTCTTGTAAGTTGGTCCGTAATTTCATTCCCCTCGATTCCTTGATACCCTGGTACCCATGACAGGGTGACCCTGTTGCGGTACGCCAGCTGCTTTAGGAGTTAGCAGTCCCATGCCAGTCTGGACTTTATGACAGAGTTGCTTAGAGCTCTTAGTGCTGCCCTTACCTCCATTATTCTTTTGAGATGTTAGTTTCTGATCCAAGGTCTTCTACGGAGGGACGTATTACTTATAGGCCACTCTGTATTATGTACCCTCTGTACACTTGGCGTGACTGAAGGACTGAAGCTGAGTTTGAGACAGGTCCAGAAGAGCGTTTCCCAATAAAGGTAGTTTGCACTGGACCTATTCTGCTGCCTTCAATGCTCCCAGAAGAAGCTAGGTTTGAGACAGATCCAGAAGGGCGTTTCCCATTGAAGGTAGTTTGCACTGGACCTAGTCTGCGGCGCTCAATATTCCTAGAAGGGCGTTTCCCATTAAAGGTAGTTTGCACTGGGAGGAGACTTAGCTATAGGGGCTTTTCCCATTAGAGGTATTTTGCACTAGCCTTAGTCTGCCGGTAATGGATTTCGGCGCGGCATTCATACCAAATAAATGCTGACTCGTCGACACACTTTAGCAAAATTGATGTAAAGACTGGTATTTACTTAAGTAGTTGACACTATAATCCCTTGGGCGCTTAACGCGTTGAGAAGTTCATCCATTATCAGTGACTACAACAGCGGAAGCAATACCCTCCCCCCTTGGGGGCATTTCTTGACTGCTGAGACCGTTGCAGAGTCACTTCCAATGGTTGCTTTGATTTTCCTATTCTCGAGCTGCTGGATGCCCTTCTTTCTAGATGCTCCTATTATGGATTCATGTGACGTGTTATCGAAGGCTCCCTCTATATCAATGAATGCACATAAAGCGGTTTCTTGATTAGAGTGTGCCTTTTCAATCTTAATGACAAGACTGTGTAGGGTTGTCTCAGTTGATTCACCTGGCAAATTGATTCTATTGGAGCGGGCTTTCCGTTAGAAATTTATTCCTGATGTGAAAGTCAATGATTTTCTCCATGGTTTTCAGGAGAAAAGAGGTTAAGCTCATTGATCTGAATGACTTAGGCTGTTATGTAAGACGCTTAGGAGCCTTTGGAATGAGGATCACATTCACATCCCGCCAACTAGTGGGAATGTGGCCTAGTAGGCAGCTAGTTTTGAACATTTTTGTCAGATGTGGTGCTAGTTCTTCCAGGCCTTGTTGTAAGAGGGCGGGAAAGATCCCAACTCCTCCTGGTGATTAGTAGGGCTGAAAGCCGTTTATAGATCTTATTTTCAGTGAATATTAACTGATAACTGTCTTTTACAAATCTTTATTCCTCTTGGTCGGTGGATAACTAGCCCACCAATGGACTTATAGATTGCCTGATGTTTACCCGTCAGATTACATTACCTGACAGTTTATCAGAAGGTGAATAAACCGGGTCTTAGTTATGGTGTTGATGAGTAAGTTCCGTTGAAAATGGGATTCTGGTTTACACATTGTTCAAGGTAGTTTACCCCTCGTATAAAAATGACTAAATTCAACTGGAATGAACTCCTCCTGGTGATTAGTAGGGCTGAAAGCTGTTTACAGATCTTATTTTCAGTGAATATTGACTGATAACTTGACTACAATTTAGAAATCTTTATTCCTCTTGGTCGGTGGATAACTAGCCCACCAATGGACTTATAGATTGCCTCATGTTTACCCGTCAGATTGCATTACCTGACAGTTTATCAAAAGGTGAATAAACCAGGTCTTAGTTATGGTGTTGATGAGTAAGTTCCGTTGAAAATGGGATTCTAGTTTACACATATTTTTCAAGGTAGTTTACCCCTTGTATAAAAGCGACTAGATTCAACTGGAATGGACACTCTGTATTCCAGTTCTATTGACTCTTGAGTACATTGAAATTAATAATTCTAGTCGTCAAAGGAAGCACTAAAATGTCTCGAGTTTTCATTAGAAAAATGCATTTGAATTAATTTGTGCATAAACTGTAAAATAAGTTTATATAATTCAAAGAAGATGGGTACCTACTATGATGAAACAAAATTATTCTGTAAATAGTCATTTCAGTAGAAGATTATATTAGTAGATTTTTATATTGTTAATAAAAATTGTTTACTTTGTAGATATTTTCGGCAATTATTAAAACTATAATATAATTATATGGTTTCTAAGCCGGTTAGTTTTATTCCTCCGCAGGCAAAATCCCAAATAAGTGGCCGCAATTTACACGTTTTTGCCCCATGGAATGTTGGCCCCGTTTAAAAAGACTTACTGCAGCTAATTTCCTAAATGGTGCCCAGTCCGGAATAACGATTCCAAATGAAGGAAATTTTGCCCGCCGGGCCGTAATTTGCAAATAATTTGCTCCTATTAACATTTGTTTGAAAAATTAGTGCAAACTTTATATTCCAACGAACAACTAAAACTGTCCTGACTTAATTAAAGCGTTCTATTACCCTGCTCCGCCCCCCAAACTCCGCGGATTAAGATAAAATGCACCATGGAAATTATTTACTCTCCGGCCTGGTTGAAATAATAAATTTAATCCTAGGTTTTTGCGTATGCCAGGTGGTTAATCCCGGGGACAATAGCGCCAAAACTGGAGTCAAGCCAAAAGACAGTCCGAAAGAACTGGATAAGACCCTATTCAGCGGCACACACAATTTCGAAGTAAATGTAGCTGAGAAATCGGTGAAGAATGACCCATCTTAATAGATCATCGACTATTGTGCTCGCGCCATTTCAACCGATTAACGATTAATGTTTTAAAAAAACCATCTATATTTATCGTGGTTTTGAAAATAGTATATGCACACAAAAAATTATTGTCAAAGAAACGCATATTTGCTTGCACAAATCCTGTATAAATAACAACGAGCTCTTACTTTAAAATTCTCGTTTAACTAGGCCTCGTTTCATGTGTACTTCTTTTGTTAGCTTGTTCCATTATGGAACGTAATTCCATCATGAGGAAATTCGCTTTGGCTATAGAAGCAGGGAGAGGAGTTTTAGCTCGATGCAAATAATATATTTTTAATGGAAATAAGTTTTTCTTCATTATTCTTCAAGATCAGGGTTAGATGAACCCACCGGGATATCGGGAAAAAAGTGTTCATCATATTCACGTTGCACAAAATGTTTTGTATTACTACAGATTATATATCCGTGCTTGCAGTCATCTTTGAGGCCTGTACCAGTAAGTCATCTTTGAGGCCTGTAGCAGTAAGCATGTCCTCATTTGAGCGTGTTCACAAATAGGGTGCGAAAAATGCTCTTCAATACTTGAAGAAGACATAAAAACTCTACTAGGAAATTGACTTGGTGGGAAATTTGGATAATGAACTTCAATGAAGACATCCTGAGATTGTAAGATTGTTATTGTTGTTAATTTAATATTGGATCACATCTTAGTGTGCCTCATACATCCATCAATGTATGGGCCGCTAGACTGAAATTACCCGGCCTACTTCCAAAACTTCGTCCAACCCTGTTTAAGATTATCAAGATTCTGAGAATCCTAGATCAAAATACTAAAGCTACTATTGTATAAATAATTTGATTCCCATTTTATCTTTGCACACCCATCATTTAGTATTAAATTTTTCGAAATCCATTATAATTCTTAATGGTCCGTGAGGATAATTTGACTAATTTCCGCAATGGCGGTTTTAAAACAAAACCCCCTTTTTCAAATTTCATAAAGGTTTTAATTACCCCACAGGCGGAGAAAGGCCTTTTCTCTCTTTTCGAATGCACATTTCGAAAGAGACGAATGGCCAACTTAGGAGCCGTTTTGCCATCTGGCTGAAGGCAATTTGAAATTTTCTATACATACTTTTTTTTTTTAATTATCAATTTCCATTAATATGAACTTCATTCAAAAAGTATAGCCATCCTTTTTACTTC